GTTATACAAACGTCACGCCGCGTCATGTTTTGGGAAGCAGAACAGAAACATAACAAACAAAAAAAAGAAGCATACCACACACAAAAAACGCAAAACACAAACGGCCCGCCCCCCTGCAAACCCCGACGTGTCATTGTATTGAAATAAAAGCACTCCATCCTCCGGGATGTCGCGGGGGGGAGGGCCGAAAGTGCGCGCGCAAACACTTGCTTGCCGAGGAGGTTTTTGTTTCAATTAAAAACGTTGACCATCATTGTAAATCTGAAACAATGGGCGGTTTGCCCTGCAGCTTTTCCTCGTGCAAACCGCGCTTAACAGGGCCTGCTGCAGTTCATTGTCAGCTGCGTCTCGCGGTCCCGGCGGGGATGCCATTGCCTTGCTGGCCCCGCGAGAGCCCCGGGGGTCCTGCTACCGGTCCTTGTGGCCGAGGCGGAGGGGTCGCTTACTTACAGGGATGAGATCCTCGCTCCAACAATGAATCCCCCTCGACGTCTTTTTCCTCGCCTTTCAGTCAATGACGGCCGGAGACAATGCGGAAGGGATGAGCGGCGGGGGAACAAGAACGGAGAGTGGCGTACTGTAGCGAAGGGCGTATAACGGCAACGCCGCCTCGGAAAACTTCTCTCGCCCTTACCCTCCGCTTTATAGCGGGCCCTTTTTTCAACTTTCAGCCCTTATTAAGCCGGCTTAACTTTAACGACCGATACATACTTAGGCGGCTGACCTCACCCCCGTGCCGACACACAGCCTTGCACAACGCCCTGCCGCGCGTCCCGACACACAGGGCTGCGAGAAGCTTGCTCTTTTTTTCGTTGTGTGTGAGTGTTGCTTCCCCCTCGCGATTGGCTGGCCTTTGTTCCATCTCTTTGGAGCCGCCGCCGGGGGAAAGGGGGAGGGGTAGAGGACGGCGTTTTGCACGAATTTTTGAAATCGCGAGGGCCTGTAGTGCCATCGCGTGCTACGTCAAAATACAAGATTTTTGAGCCTATTGGCGACCTGATCGGACCACGGAGAAAGGTCCCGCCAGGCTGTCAAAGTTTAACATAGAACTCTTATGGGGAAACGGTGCAAAAAGTGAAATT